GGTCAATGCCACAGTTATCTTCCACAATAAGACCCTGGAGAATCCCGCGAGGGCACTTTCCGCTGGAAGCTCGGACTACACAGTCGTCCACAGCCTGACAAACATCGCTCAATCGGATCCATATGATCATGAGACCACAAACCTCGATATCATTGCCATCCCTAGCGGAAACACGACAAATGTGACATTGTCATCTCCCGTGCCAGCGGCTCGCTATGCGTCTCTGCTTATCGTGGGAAATCAAGCGCTTGACTCCGTTGATGTGGAGGCCAAGAATGGAACTGGTGCCACTGTTGCCGAATGGGCTATTCTCGGGAAAGAAAAGGCACACCCTGCTTCCTCAGGCCACGAATCCTCCAATAAGAAGATGAACGTGCGTGCAGCAGCAGCCGTGTCAGGTACCGATGCCTTTATGCGTCGTCGTCGAGAGTTTCTGTTCTAACCTTAGGGGTTGATTGACTTGCCTTGGTGTTCCCCTGGTTTTCCCCGAAGAACCCGATAAAGAGACTTTTTTTTGTAAATAGTCTTTCTTTGGATTAAATTTTCTACCGGCAACCCCTCACAGTACAAATTTATTGAGTTGAAGCCTACGAACCAAATCTGCTCCAAAGTGTAAAGTTCGAGTTGTAATTGTGACAAGTTGAATAGAATCGCACCTATTTAACATTATATCCATACATACAGTCATACCTATAGGTAGGTAACCGACATCCTCTACTGGTCAACGGCAAACCGATCCAAGAACTTGAAGGTACTAAGTCCCTCCTTGATATCCTTGGCAAAGGCATCGTCAGCGGTGCTACCAGTGTACACACCCTCGCGGTCGGAAGAAATCTGCCCAGACTGCAGAGCATCAGAGCCCTTACCCAGAGCAGCAACAGTCTTACCGAACCGGAAAGCATCGAGCAGAATATCCAAAGGCCGACCAGCGGGGTACAAAGTTGAGGCACCGGAACCCTTCTTAGGCTCGGTAGTGAAAGACTTAGAGCCAAACAGATCCTCAGCACCGTCCGCAACAACAACAGCATCGAACTGCACGGCGTCAGAAGCCGAGTAAGTCTGATCAACATCATCGGCCATTCTCTCCGCAACAACGACGACATCAACGCCCGCAGAAGAAAGAGCAGCTTGCAACTTCGCGCCCTGCGCAATAGACGCAGGCTTATCCACGCTCGCAAGGAGTCCAACCTTGAGTCCGTCCAGCTTGGCGAGTTTCTGTCCGAAGGCGCCAATGTGCGCGGTCGTGTTGTCGTGGTAGAATGTGGCATCGGGCTTAGGGGCCTCGACGCCAATGGCCTTTGCGACGCGGGTGGCGAGGTCGTTGCTGATGCGGTTCAGTTGGATGATGACGTTGTTGCGCACGACGCTGCTCTTCACGTTGGAGGTCTCGAAGCGCATCGCGTCCACGACGAATTGCTTCTCTGCGTCCTCGAGAGAGTTCCAGAAGAGGCGCGGCTGGGACCAGTTGTCTTCGAAGGTCGTGCTGAGGGTGCGTTGCAGTGTGCCGCTTGCGGTGCGCTCTGGTGCGGTGAAGAAACCCTTGCCGACGGTTTGGTTGGCTTGCTTCGGGGAGCCCTTGTTCTCCGTGTTGGGGGAGTAGGCGTTGGGGTTGAGTGGGATGAACATTTGGCCTAGGTTTGTTAGAAAGGGGGGTTTGAGGGTGAGATTAGGGTTTGTGGCAAGTACGTACCTGCTCCGTCACGGTTGTTGTTGTGGATTGGTGCGCGGGGACGGTTGATGGGAAGCTGCTCGAAGTTGGGACCACCGTGGCGGTTGAGTTGGGTGTCGAGGTAGGAGAAGAGACGGCCCTGGAGGAGGGGGTCCTCGGTGAAGTCGACGCCGCGGACGATGTGGCCCGGTTGGAACTAAGGAAATTAGTATTACTCGCTTGTGATGATGGATCGAGACGTACCATGACTTGCTCAGTTTCAGCGAAGTAGTTCATAGGGTTTCGGTTCAGTTGCATCTTGCCCAGAATGGTGACAGGAACGAGTTCCTCTGGGACAATCTTGGTAGGATCCAAAAGATCAAATCCAAATCGAAGCTGGTCCTCTTCCTCCATGATTTGAACACCAAGCTAGCGAATAATTAGCAGGTATTGCGATGGATGTTTGAATTATCACCTACCTCCCATTCGGGGAAACGTCCAGCTTCAATGGATTCGAAAAGATCCTGACGCATAAAGTCCGCATTCTTACCAGCGGTCTGCTGAGCCTCCTCCCACACAAAGCTAGCCTTGCCCTGCAGTCCCTTCCAGTGGAACTTGACAAGCTTGGTCTTTCCATCGTCAGTAACCAGACGGAAGGTGTGCACACCAAATCCATCAACATGACGGAACGACCGAGGAATACCGTGACCAGCCATTGCCCAAAGAAGTGTGTGGAGTGTGCTAGGCTGCTGACTGAAGAAGTCCCAAGCGGAGTCGTGCGCGGTAGCAGCCTGGGGGATCTCGTTGTCGCCACGGGGCTTGACGGCGTGGATGAGATCCGGGAACAGGATGGCATCCTGGATGAAGAAAACGGGGACGTTGTTTCCAACGATATCTATATCAGAATCAGTTGTGCCCTTCGTCTGTCAAAAGGGGGTCTGCCGTACCAAAGTTTCCTTCGTCAGTATAGAAGCGAGTCGCAAAACCGTGGACGTCTCGCGCAGTGTCAGCGCTTCCGCGGCTACCAGCAACGGTGGAAAAGCGTGTGAACATAGGTGTCTGTTTTCCTTTGGCGGAAAGGAAAGAGGCGGCAGTAATGTTGGACCAGTCGCCGTAGGACGTGAATGTTCCGTGGGCGCCGGCGCCCCGGGCGTGAACGGCACGTTCCGGTACCTTAGAAAATAGACATAAGCTGTAGAACTTCAATTAAATGCAAGAAGAAACATACACGTTCATGATCGAAGCGTTGGATCTTCTGGCGGAAAATGAAATCCTCGAGAAGGGTCGCTCCACGCTCTCCTGCGCTGAGGCTGTTCTGGTCCTCGATCGGACCGCCAACGTCGGAGGTCAGATACACATCTTGGTCTTTGAGGTAGAATTGGGAGAGGAATTCTTCGGTGTTAGCAGCAGCATCTCCGTCAGCTCGACGCTCGATGGCCGCCTCGCCAGTCATGTAAGGACAGGCAGCATTGGCAACGCCAACAAGGCCCGTAACGAGGGCAAGCACATGCATTGCGACAGCTAAATAATATAACTGTTTGATAGAAAGCTCCACCTCAATTGAGTGGCCAACAGTTCAAAACTTCAGACGAAACATGAAGAGACGGACCTCACTTTATACTCCGGTTGGAAATTGAACCCCCGAAGTGAGACTTTTGCAGTGAGCCAATGGGAAGCTCCATGAAAATGTAATGACGCATAATTCAGGGACTATTATTGATCAGACATGGGCTGGCCATTCTCCAACCAGGAACCCGTTGATTATTTCTCAGCACGATGGCCGAGACTAACAGTGTGACGAGATCGCATCACCCGGTGGGACATAGTGGGGCCGGGTAGAGTTGTTGACCGTCTCCACGAGCCAAGGAGAGGATAGACAATATGCATGCTTTGCTCCGATGCGAGTTAGCTCGTCCCAATTGAAATACCGGGGTGTCGATCCCATAGGCGAGCTATACGTTGTAAGCAAGCATCAGGCCATCATGGTGGCCGCTAGCCGCTAGCTAACTAGAAAGAAATAGTAAAAGACGTAAGCTGATTGTTGAGAACCTTGGCGACTGGGATTTGAGTTAGCCGGTGATCTAGTCCGGAATCAACAGGAGTGAAGGGGTTGAAGGGATGCCGTGGCGTTGATTAAGCGTCGGAGCCAACGTTGGTCGAGGCCGCGATGGCTTGGTAATTGGCCACTAAGCGTCCGGTTTCCACGGTTGGGCTTGAGATAAAAGAAAGATTAAAAAAGTATAATGTAGGGGATCTACACCCTAGCAGGAATAATGTCTCATGTTAGATTAATTTAATCTCCCGTAACAACAGCGATATCCAGGTGAACACTTTGTAACATTCCAAAGTCTACCTCGAAATTGGGACCTGAAAAATCGACAGGGATTAGGCTGCGGTGCAGAAATACCAAGGCCAGCTTATGCACCTAATCCTTGTCATGCACATCATTGCCATTTTTAGAATTTATCCGCAATTCAGTAGGGATCGTCGGTGATAACTTTGTGTTGGTGATAGCCAAGGTGTTGGTTGCATTGGTTCCAGAGCGGCACATGTGGATAGTTAATTTTAGATATTAGCAATCTTGTCCTGCATCAAAAGATAGGGCCATGCGCCGTTCATCGTCGTTTATTGCTGGCTTTGTGGGGTGTGACAAACTGAGATGCTTGGCGGGAGGGGGAAATAACTTAGCAGCCTTGGAAAGAGACGAGACTGATCCTTTATGGTCTTGGCAACTGTAACTTGGGATAATTATTGTTCAACCAGCTATTTTTAATGTGATATGTGTGTGATAGAGCTCTCGGCCGGCGGGTACGGAGTATTCTCGTGAGAGGGATCAAGATATCTTTTTTTGGATTGAAAACTTTCGTTTTCGTATCTAGTAGAGCTGCTGACGGAGCTGTTGAATGGATGGAAAAATCATATCGGCATTGGTTTATCGCGCGAAAAGAACAGAGCCATGATCGAAGAAACTTAATTTTTCATTTTTCATTTTGCCTACGGAGTACTCCTTTTGTGTATAATTCAAACAGCTCCAATTACAATGCGGACTATGTTGCAGACCGTTTATCATCCTTCCTAGGACTACCTAAAGTTACCTAGGTAGGAACACTCGGCCGATGACACAGCAGATCTATCCTCGAGCCATCGAGGCCACATCACTCGGTCCAGCAGGGTCACTGCGATCCACAAACCCATGTTTCGCATACAGCGGGGCACCCGCCTTACTAGCGTCGACATATGCCCCAACACCCTCACGGTCCGCAATTTCGCACCCCCAGCGGACGAGCATAGTGGCCGCCCCGCGACAGCGGTAGTCGGGATGCGTACCGAGCATATCGAGGTCTACCCAGAGTCAACAACAGTCACACAGCAGGTAAGCCGTTAGCTCTCGAGGATCCAACTTACAGTAATGCTTCCGATCACCCATCACACGCCTGCGCGCTCTCTCCAACCCCCCAAAGAAAGCATCACAATCCTGTCCAGGCATGTCCCCGTGCCAAGGTGGGAACCGAGCCCCGCGCTCGTCGGGCATGGCCAGGTCCCATTTCGCGTATGCGACTATCCGTGCACGCCCTTGCGTGTCCTTCGTGTTGGCATCGACGACCTTGATGTATTTTTGATAGGGCTTTGTGAGCATGTCGGTGCGGTTGGCTTCGGTGAACCATTCATGTGCTCCTGGAGTGTCTGGGATTAGGTGCCGCATGCCGGGGTCGTTGAACACGGTGAACCATAGCTCGGTAATGGCGGGGATATCTTCGATAGTCGCTAGTTCCAAGACTAGAGGGTTCGGGGTAGACATTCTGGGATTTTTGTTTCGTTTGTTGTTGGGCGAGGGGTAGTTTTGGGTATACAGTGGGGTGGACTCCGGAGCTAGCGGTCAAGGTTAGGTTGATTTGGAATACTCGTAACGATTTGGAGTCTGAGTCAGACACAGTATACTCCGTATAGAAGTGCATACACCAGAAGGGAAGTTTTTCCCATTGGTGTCTTACAACTATGCAGGTCTAATTATATAGAACTCTAAATTATAAGCTCATCAAATATACACAGAGTAACTCCTGCAGGATCAATCGGATCACTCAGTATCTCGGGAAAGTAGCAAAGTTCCACCTCTTTGCACCCTTAATAAGCTGCGAATCCACACCATTGCTACCGCTGTTAACATACAGCAACTTGGTGAAGGGCACCTCTGTGTAATAAGTGAAAGCCACACCAACCGGAATGAAGGCTACATCGCCAGTGTACAAGGTCGCCACGGGATAATTCCCGATCTGGATCATGAGCACACCTTCCAGAACCTCGAAAGCAGCAGCTCCGGGCAAGATGTATGTGGGCGTATTGTCCTTGGTTTGGCGGCTGAGTGAGATGGTCGAAAGAGTGTAGTTGGCGTCCTGGGCCTGCTTGGTGACCAGAGGCTGGATGACCTGGTAGCCGTACTTGGAGCTGAGGTACTTAGGGCCATATCCATTCGCAACAAAGTAGGGCTTGCCAGAGGTACCGAGAGCATTGTCGCCAGTGTGCCAGTTGGAATTATCAACGGGAGCGGTGCCGTTGACCAGATCACGACGGGGCTCGAAGTCAAGCTGGGCGTAGACGTCGAACTTCTGCAGAGAAGTAATTATGCTAGGGTCGGATGTTGAAGAGCTGTTCGACACCGCGGGAACAAAGGGGGTATCGGTGCCCGAGGTGTAGTTGGTTCCAAGGGCATAGAAGAGTTCCCTTCTCAGGTTAGCCAAGTTTAAACGAGTTCGTTATATGTAAACTTACTCGAAGCCACCAGGAACGACGACACCAACCATCTCGGTGTCAGGGTCCAGAATTTGGAAAGTATGGGTTGTGTTTCTAGGGACCGACCCATAGTCACCCTGTGTCAACAGTCGAGCTTGCTGCTCGTCTGCGCCCTTTTGCGCCCAGAGCTGGAACCGGCCCTTGAGGTTGAAGAAATTCTCAGAATGCCTCTTATGTATGTGCGGCAACACGCCTAAGGCTCCACTGGAGGGTGCGTTGGTGCTCATCAGAGTAAACGCATTATCCGAGGAAGGGCCAGTCACTGTGAAGCGGTACAACTGATCCCCAATGGTGACGGCATGCGAGTTCGCGTAATGCGGAATGACATAGGGGCGTGGGAAAGAGGGCGCGTTGTGGAGATAGAGCTCCTCCAAGGTAGCGGACTGGACGAGGCAGACGCCGAACGAGGCAAGCAGAAGCAGCGAAGATGTCAACATTTTGATTGACCGTCTTCAATTAAACCCGTGGTCCGGACTCAAAGTCTCCAGAAATTTGCGTGGGCCCTGGAGATGCTTTTCTATATGTGAGCTCGGCAAACATGGATAACGGATTTGCCGGGCCGGTATAAAATTGAAGCAATATAGTCATCTCGGATCCCGTACTCCGTAGATCACACGGATATACTATACTAAATGTAAGTGAGCTTGCTTAAGATCCTATATTGATATTTGCCGTAGTCGCATCCGGTCCCTATGTCAGTCTCGTATTTGAGAGACATGAGCTTCTCGCATTTTTGGCTATCCGGGCAGACTCAATGTAATTGAACATTTTGCCGAAGGGTCTCAGCGTCTTTTAGGTCTGTCCCAGGAGACCTCGGGATTCCCGGGGTCAATAAGCTCCACTTACATCTAACCCATCACCTGGGCATTCCATGTCAAATAGAAACTGAAGTCCCTAAATCCCTAATTGAAATAGGGCCCTAATGAAGATATCTCAAAATGAAAGGCCTGAATAGAGAATATAGAGCTGTAGAGGTGATAATGCCCAGCCCTGCTAGGTGGAGATTGTTTGAAATTACATAAGCGGAGCTTTTTGACGGGGGAGTCTCCCGGGACTTCCGAACCTTGGGAAACGCCGTGGCTGACGAATTCTAAATCCTGGAGGGCTTGGCAGGTTATCGGATGAGTCTTTCACATGACACACAATCTAACTGAAATTATATGGAAACATGGGGTAAATTGGAATTCTCCGCCTCTCATAGATTGCAGTCCTGTTTCGAATCAGCTTGGCGGGAATCCTGCGACAGTCTCGACGATCTAAAACGACCGAGGTTTGAAAGAAGAGAAGCTACTCCGCGGAACAGATATTATTCAAGCAGAATCAAGGTAATGTTTCATGAACTGATATCATCTAGGGTACCTGAGGGATCAGGCATCAACGGTGACGGCACCTGTTTCTAAGGTTGTTGCATATGTACCGGATAATGTCTGGCAACTATTGGCTTTCTCTTTCCGTTCTAGTGCTCACCCCCTCGCCGCTTTTACTCCCTGAGTAGAATTGAGCACGCCCCTGATCGGCCAGAGCTGATCAGTGATCATTATGTAACCAAACTGATTACTCAGTGAGCCTGCTCTGAGCACCATGATCAGATCACTGACCATGATGGGTTGCTTACTAAGCTCCTGCCATTCACCTACAGGTAGTATGAGTAAGCGGGCTCAATAAAACGCGACACGCTAGCTCGACCGCTGTATAAAAGTTAGCGTCGTAGAGTTGCCACTAAATGGCGATCTTTTCCTTTATAAACAGATTGTACCCGATTAATTTCGTTTTAACCTATTAAGATTTGACGCTTCTAGGAGTATTCTCTGTTCTCCCGATACATCGACCCGATTTAGGAGAACTACGTTAGCAGATATATAACTAGATAGACTACGTAAACTATTTCGTTTTTATTAGATATTGTCAGCCGGAATTACCGTTTCCCCACTCCGTCATTTTTATATTTACTTTCTAGATCCAGTAGCCACCTAAGGCATCACTTGCTGGAGG